ATATGAAAAACTTGAAACAAGAATGAAAACTGAAAACTAAATTTATTTTAATTCAAAATATTCATAAATACTATAGTAATATATATGTAAATAATACTAAAATATCACTGATTAGAAGTCACACTAGTTATTTTTCACATTAATGATATGTGATTTTCTAGGCCCATAAAACAGGGTTTCTGCGGGGTCTTAAAAAGTCTTAAATTGTACAAGAAAGTCTTAATTATGATTTCAAGAGGTCTTAAATTTGGGGACGGAAAGAGCAGAGTTGCGGTGCTGCGCTGCTTTGTGTTCTGCCGTTACCGGGAAACAGTTATATTTCTACCAAACGCTCCACCTGCTGGCAGAGAATGAATGAGCATTTTCAATAAAACTGTTGTTTTGTTCAGAATTCAGACCAATGCGAAAATCGACCCATGTTTTTACCCTGCAAACACGCAGAGCTTTGAATGTGAACTGGTGGATCGATAAGAAGACAATGCATTATAAAAATCTAAACATAGCGGTGTGTGATATGTAGCCTATGGTCTGCGATAATATCATAATTATTGTTTTAACAATGTGCGATTTGATATTATGAGTATATCGCGAAAAGCAAACACAAAACACACCAACAGAGTTCACGCATACATTAGGTGATGAAGTCTGGTAGGTTAGACTAGTGCGCATGCGCATTTAGAGTGCGTTCTTTCACTGCATGAATCAGTCTATTAAAATGCATTTAGAATTATCACATAATTTAAGATATGGGGCAGAAAATGTATATATTTATATCATTTCATATAGTTAATATCACATGAAGAGTGCCGTTTTTTCCCCTCCAAAAGTAAGCATGATTACAAATGTGATATTGATTTTATACAACAGTTCAATAAACAAGTTAATATTAAGAGACTTACGTTTTAGACACCATATTTCCTGTTTTTGCTCTATTTCTCCAACAAAAATCATTCCAAACACAGCCACAGCGCTGTTTTGAGTCTCTTAGCAACAGGACTCTGTTTAGTTCCTGAATGAATCACCCGTTTAAATGATTCAGTTCAATCGCAATTAATCACTTATTAACAGTGACTTGCTGCCACCTACTGGCGGTTTTAATTTCACATTTAAGTTACCTTTTTATTTTTTAAATCATTTCAAACACCAGTTTTCAATATTCTATGTTTAAAATATCAAAACATTATTTATGCATTTGTAATTGCAGGTTAAAGTATTTAATGTCTCTCAGAGCTTCATTAAACAGTGTGTAAATACATGTAAATGCCACTTCAGATGCAGCTTCTGTGTTTCCACTGCATTGCAAAGATACATTTTGTTGATACTGATTTAATTTGCTTGGTAACAACCCAAATGCAAGAATTTGACTAAAAAGATGGTGCACACTTTTAGAAAAAAAAATGGCTTAAAGGTAAAAATGCCCATAAAACTTATTAATTTCTATTACTTCTGTGAACTGACCACACAGAATATGAAGAATATCAAAAACTTCAGGAGTCAGCTGTCCACGATAGTCCTTAAGATATCAACACAATAACACTAACTCGTATATAACTCAGCAAAATATCGTCTAATTATCGTTACTGATAAAATCCCAGAATATTATCGAGATATCATTTTTTGTCAATATCGCACACCCCTAATTTATGTTATTTACTTGATATAATAATTTATTGATAATAATTGTTTAAATTAATATAATAATTAATACTTTTGACTGATCCATTTTCTTAACAATGGTTTAAAGGCTGAAATGTAAAGTTTATCATTTTATAAAACTTTATAAACTGGGAGGGTGACATGACACACATTATCTGGTACTTAAAAAGACGGGTTTATGATGTGCTTTGTTAACAGATTACACTAACATTAGGTTACTTTAAAGCCTTTTTTCTCTGAAATTTTTTTTTCAAAATCATCCGCCCCTCTGCTTTTTTCACAAATCACACCCTGTGTGTGTGTGTGTGTATATATATATATATATATATATATATATATATACAGTATATAGGTAGAAGCATCCAGCCCCCCAGTGTTTCCACATCGTCGAATCTGGCCCCCTTTAAGAAAAGTTTGGACACCCCTAATATAGATAATGGCCCCACTGTCTTCATTTTGCATATGAGATTATAGATGATCAGATCACTGATGATAAATTATATGGTTTAAGTGACTGTGACTGCTGAGCTCCAAAAGCACTTGAGACCATAAATAGCCTGACAGAAAAGTTGTTATGGGGTCCATAACAGTTAGAGTATAAGTTAAGCACTTAAAATGATTAACTTAAGTGCACTTAAAAAGCACCTAATGCTGTTTTCACAGTTCAGTCTTAGATAATTGATTATTTACTGTATAGTGAAATATGTCACTTCAAGTATGCTAGAAATGTTTATGTACTCTGTCTCATTATCAGTGGGTTTTAAAACTGGTGGTTTTAGAAGTGAAGATAACAGGACTGAAAACAGTTGGTGGCTCCATTAGTCTAAACTGGGCAAATCATTTATTCAGTGTAGTGATCCGAACTGTATTGCTTCTCTTCTGTCTCTTTTAAGGTCACAGGGTCCGTCTGTTTGCATGTAGGCTGGAAAATTGGTGCAGAAACTGCTAGTAAATTTCACAATTAATTACAAAGAAAAGGCAAGTAACACATGTAACAATGTGACATTTTCAAGAACAGAAAGACTACTGTTTTCTTTTAAAACGTATAATTCAATAATCTTTGTTATATTCACAACTTTTTTGTTTATCTGCATGAGTACTATGTAGGCTGACTACATATTAGAAAAATGACATTTACATTGATATCATTTTTTATTAGCCTATACTTTCTTTGAAAGATTAATCTGTGTTCATTTAAATGGTTTATAATTGTAATGGTTTATAAAAGTTCTTTTAATTCGCTGTTCTGTGGATACAGTATTGGTACATAAAATAAATACACTATGCAAAATATCTAATATTTCTGTCTGTATTTGTCTTTATAATGAATTGTCATAAAGGAATGTGGGCTTTGAATTAAAAGTCTATTACACAAATTTGTAAAAGAAAAAAAAGAAAAAGACAAAAGGACTTGATCCTTACTTAACCAGTGCTTTTATACCAGCAGAGAGCACTGCAGTTTCACTCTGCAATCACAACTTCCTTTTCATACAGAGTTTTGATGTGGGGATAAAACCGAGAAATACATCTGCAATACAAGTTCGATTAACAACTATTTGTTATATTATATCTTATATCTCCTAATATGACATTTCATATATAAATGTATTAGGGGAGATCGTTTTCCCCATTTCCCTGTGATGGACTGTCCATCCGTTCAGGATGTTGAGATGCTGGAATAGGCTCCAGCCTCCTCACAACCACAAGCAGTTTGGAAAATTGATGGATAGA